CCCCGTGTAAATGAGTCAACCTGCGCGAGCGCGGTCGAGGGTTATATTTCATAAGCGGGTGGTTACACCGAAAACCGCGCGACACTTCAAAGGTGCCTGGGAGAGACTTGTGAGGTTCACACAGAATAACCGAGGTCAAAAGTATCCCGTTCTCACGTCACATCGCGCCGACATATTCGCGCGCATAAACCCGCGTCTCGTCGCAGAGATTTCGCATGGCTACGCCCTTAAATACGATGCATGCGCCTCGAACTGCAGTGGATTTCGAGGCGCATTTAAGCACGCGCGACACGGTATTGTGTATTGTTGGGCATTGCGCAGGGTGTTCAGGGTAAGCCGCCCGACACGCGACGCACACGCGGCGCAATGCGCCATAGAGTATATAACACCGGTGATGGTTATGATAAGTACACATATTGCCTTATCACGGTGCACCGTAAAACCACGTCATTCGTCAAGAGTCATTCATGTAACTACATTGTAGTCGTCGTCGTTATCAACGTCGGCTCTGTCGTTCTGTGAGCCATCCATTCTCCAACTTTTCATCAATTCTCTTCGATCACCGCGTAAAATTGTTTTCAAATGTTTTCACATTTTTTTTTAATTAATTAAACTGTATGAGAATTTAATCCGTGTGCTTTTTATCTTGTTCATGATCTCGTCCAATAGAGAGTTATGCAAAAAATTATTTTTTTGCCATTTGTATTCTTATGAAGTCTCTCGCACATTTATTTATGATTAAAACACGAAGGATACTATAAAAACAGACTTTTTTTTTGTAGCGGATAAAATATATCTATTTCAGATAATTTTTTATAAAAATTTCATTTAACCCGTACATCGAAGATGTTTTTATCTATTTTCACATTGCTTCAGTCCCCACGGAGATAGTCGTATTTCCTCGATATCAATCGGATTTCACGTTCGCGATATCAATCGAATATATTGGTTTTCAGATACATGCGCGCATCGATTCAACAAGTACTACACATGCAATTAAATGTGCATTACTGAGATTTCATATCTCGGTCGTGTTCGCACCGTGCAGAGCTCTGTAATGGCCTACTGCACAGCGGGTTTCCTGCTGTATTTCTGGTAATCTGCGCCTTGAATAGCAAGGAAAGAAAGAATTCCATTTTCAGATGACGAATAATGAAATTAGAAAATGCAAGCTGTTCTGCAAAAAAAGCTTTGAATCAACGGTCTAATAGTATTTCTCTCTTTCTCTCTCTCTCTCTCTCTCTCTCTCTCTCTCTGATGAATGTGAAAATAATTCTCTTTTGAGATTAAAAAATGCGATCTAATTTAAATATTAATATTAAAGATTAAAAGATCGGGATAAAATTAAGCTTCTGCAAGAATAAAAATAAATAAACGTACTTCTTAGTCAATTTTAAATAAATCTCTCTTGAATAGAACTGTAATCTTGCTGAGAATTTTGTTTTCGTCATGATTCATTTATAATCTAAAAGATAACTAAGATATAACATTTTATATGTTGTAAGATTTCCAAAAGAGCATTGTGACAAAATATATTTAAAGTTTATTATTGTACAAATGTCTTCAAATATTCTATTTTAAGAGAATTGAAATAAAAATGATTTATGTCACGATATTTTCACTTAATTATTTACTGTAATGTAAATTGTAAAACTTTTCCGTGAGCTTATCAAAAGTATTCTATATACGTTCACTTTAATTTAGTTTCGAATTTCTCATTTGATTACTTAACTTAGATTACACGTGGTGTTAGTTACATGTATCTTAATGTATCTCTATGTAGGCTTTGCGGGACTGCGGAAATTCTAGAGAATGCAGTTGAGCATGCGAAATAAACATCGTTAGCGTTTCTATCTCCGCATTCTTGATATATAAGATAAATTTTATATATCTATTTTCTAAATTCCTCTAGATAATATTTTGCAATATTTATTTACTACAAATATTTTTGTTTATTAAATACTTAAGCAAATTATTTTCATAAAATGTATCTTTGAAGATTATTATAATTATCTAATTACAATGAATGTATTTATTAAACTGTAATTTTATAAGAAATATAAATACAGACGATCTATTTTAACTTAAATTATGATTTTAATAAACTTAAAGAGTTTTTCTAATTAAACTTTGAAAAAAGCAAATGTATTGAACGTCTGTTTAATTTTTTAAGTAAACTTATTCTATTAGGTGTTGGAATTAATTCGTAGCGTTTTTAAAGTGATGGGAAGTACTTTCATTAATGTATTTTTTTAAACTTATAATTATATATCTTTATAATAATAATTATATATCTTAATAATTTTATATATCTTTACTAATTTATATTAATTTGAGACTTAGTTATATCAAAAAAAGATTTAGTATCGAAAATTAAAAGTTCTGAAAAAATCTTGATCGTTAAAGAATTAACTTCAAATTTGCTAAAGAATCTCGAAATAAAAAAGTACGCAGCTTAAAAAAAGTGCATCCATGAAACTTTTGACGAGAGCAATTAAAAGATCGAGAGGAAAGTTTTAGCGAGATTTTACGAACTTACAAACCATTGGTTCGTCGAATCATGCAGTTTGATTTAAGAACAAATTGGAACATCGTCCACTTTTTGCAACCTTGTGCAAGATCAGTCAAATTTTCTTTCAAACTCGCGTCAGAATATTATTAGATCTTATATTGAAAAGATGGCGTCGTATCAAAGCTTTGATTACGCCACGCGACGTAATATTAGAGTGGATCTTTTCTTCGATAAGACTAGCGCATTTAATCTCATAATAGAAAATTTCACGATCCGTTAGGTATACTCAAACGTCTTCTTTTTTATTTTTTAATTTTTTCATCGCACAGGACACGAAAGTGTGCCGGTGAGAAAAGAGATGTAGCCTTCCTTTGGATGCTTACAAAGAAAATCCGGAGCGCTTAAATATGACGTAGCGACCGCCTTCTCATAATCTGTATTCAACCGCTGTAATCACTTTCGCTCCCCTTCGAGATTGAATTTCACGGGTAGCTGTTTAAAAAGCGGAATTTATATTCGGCTGGACGCACTCTTGGCGCGTCGGAGGATAAGTATCAATGCTACTCGGCCATTAATCATTGGTCGAGATTCTTTTTTGCGCATTCCGCCATATATCACACTGGATCGCGCGAATTGCATAATTCCTCAGTTGAGAAAATGTGAAGTCAGCAAGCGCTTCTATAACACTCGCATGTTTTCACCGATATTCTTTGTTGCAACTAGAAACTATTAAACTTGACATGTCAAATGTATAAACAATGCAATTTACACATAAATATTTGCGTCGATTTTTATTCACTTTTTACTTATGATATAGACTGTAATAAAACATTATACATGCTATGCATATTTAATTGAAAAGTGAACTTTATGACATGATGAAACAGTGGGAAGTCTCTTCTTTTATACTTAGTTCGCCTTTGAAAAACTTTTTAACAAAGTTAAATTAATTTAAAGTTTAAGGATTATTATATTTTTATCATGGATTATTATATTTTTATAATATCATTCGTACATTGTAGTTGCTCTATTACGAAGTTCTCACTCAATTAATTTTGTTAGGCTTCGCTTGATTGGTCGCGATTAGAAGTCATCTTCTATCCAATTCATTACTGCCTAGTACTGATCGTTATTTGAGAAGATAAATTGAGAAGGAAACTTTTTGCTGCACTACTCTTGTAATTACGTCAAATCAAATGTCTTTGCATTTCTAAGTGTTCTTTTTTCTACTTGCATGAATAAGCCCAGAAATATCTATTGTTTTGTTTCGTCCAAGCAATTGCTGTTCCGAACGTACGTAATGTTTGAGATTGAAATGTTAATACGTATTCTACAGTCTGTTGGCTTAATAATCTATATAATACGAGATGTTCTGTGTAATTTACCGTTGGTTCGACGCGAATGCTGTTAAACTTCGCAACAACTATCTTCTAGAAGCATGTTGGCATCAGGTGCGCATATAACGCTTTGAATCGAGAATTATGTTATTACTGAGATTATTATCACTTAAGAAACTATTAAGCACAAGATTATTATGATTCAACTGACATTTGAATAGAAAATAAATAAATAAATTTCAAAAATAATTAAATAAGAAAGTAAATAATTTTATCAGAATTGTTTTAGCTTATTGCTGAATTATTTTATAAGTCGTGACTAATAATGTATCTTCAAAGGTATTTACTTTTTCTGTATCAATTACGATTTGTTAATATGAAATGCTTTATAAAGATTATATTTTGTAAAACATCATATGTAATATCTAATATAGAGACGACCTATATATCTACAGCAATTCAATCTACATCAGTCTATCGTCGCCTACATTGATGAAAGTTTAGACAAACTTCTTACAATTCGCTTACAAATTACTCTACCGTACGATTCACTCGAATAACTTACTTTCGACGCTATCACGACTTCCGCGACGATAATGATCCATTAAGAAAGCCGGAACTCGGCCATTCCGGCCAATACTTTCGACGGGCTCGCTCTTTGCCGCCGCGGCTTGACGAGAAGCGATTTCACGCAAGAAGAAAAAAAAAGGGAATGGAAGGACATTAATCGGAGAACACGATGGCAGGAACGTTAGCGGGTTCTCCAACTTTCCATCGAAGTGGAAACCCTCGTCTTTAACGTGGTACGCCGTTGAACGTGCGGGATGACGAAAAGACGGTGGGAGGGACAGGGCAGAAATTCACCTCCTTCCGATTCCGGATGAACGCATTTCGTTGAAAGCAGATTTACATTTCCTCCTCTCTCTCTCTCTCTCTCTCTCTCTCTCTCTCTCTCTCTCCCTCTCTTCTTCTTCTTCTCCCATCTTTTCTCTTCCTCTCCTCCCTCTCTCTCTCTCTCTCTCTCTCTCTCTCTCTCTTTCTCCTCTTCTACGGGACCCTTACCGTAACCGTCTTGCCTACCCTTTAACGTTCGCGAATTCCTTTTCTCGTGACGTTCACACGTTCTCCAACTCACGCTTGATTTGTTGCAGTTGGAGGCGACCACGAGGCAACAGCGGACGAAGGAAGACGAGGGAACGCAGTGGAGCGAGATCAGTCTCACCCTTCAGCCGTTCCATTACACGAACGGTCGTTTGAATCTACGTTGCACCGCGGAGATACCTGGCGTCTACTCAAAGCAAAGCGAAGTCCAGCTCCTTTCGGGTATGCGCGAACCCGTGCCTGAAAGAGGTAACTATACAAATTTTGTTTCTATTTGTTTTATATTGACCTAAGAACTTTCGAAGTCTTATAAGTTCCTTTTTGTCTTTGATTCGGCTTTATAACTCGAGAAACTTTTTCGATAACGAATACATATTATTATATTTAGTCCAATCAAGTCGAGTGACATAACATAAATGTCATTACGTTAAAATGGGAAAAGTTTCGAAAAATTTGCATATAACTTATGACTTTAATATTTCTCTGAACTTTTTTGAGTTTAATACTCAACACTTATATATACGTCACTGTATTCAATTTATCTAGCTAACTTGAATGATAATTCGAATTAAACTTCGAACGTAGCGAATATTCAAGATTAGCGCACATTGGATCAAATCCGTTTAGTTAGATTATGTTCGATTAGAATTAGATCAGGTTTCTCGGTATACAATATCTCTATAGACAACCTCGTTAGCAAGTGTCTAGAATATCCTTTGTAACGTATTGATAGTTATACCAAACTTGGTTGGTGCTGTTTAACAGAAAAAATTATTGGACGGGAATATGATAATGACAAAATGATCGCTTTTTCGTGCGTTTCGTAATTCATGACTCGATCTTGATGATTCTATGATCAACCAACATACGCTCGAGCTAACCGAGAGTCGAGATTAGTCGGTCGCACGGACTAATAAATTCTGAGAGCAGGGTCCACCCACTCGAAATCGGTAAGGAAGCCTCCGGTGCACGCTGCGCTCGCTTTCCTGCACGCGACGTCGACGAGATTTAATTGAGCGGCCACGGGTATAACCTACGCTCCCATTACCTTCCGGCCGGCTGACCCGTCCTTTCACCCTTTGCCCGGTGTACCCGCTGGCGCTCTAACTTTCGTCGCCAAGTATACGTGCCGAGTCGCTAGTGCAATTCCGATGATTTCACCGTTCTCCCTGTGGACCCTACGTGGACGCAAAATAATTCACGATAGTCTGAATAAATCGTATATACAGATTTACAAAATAGTGCTTCGAATTAAAAAAAGAAAAAGTCGCGCCTACCGCATATTTCTGAAAATGTCAATATTGCTTAAAAAGTTTAGGATTTTTTATTTTTTATTTATTTGATTAACGATTTATATACGCGTGCCAATACAATTCCATAATTTATTGGATTTTTTATAGAGATTATTTCATATGAAGATATTATTTTAGTGACCGAACAAAATTCACAACTGGATTATGTATAATAATAGAGCCCATCTTCTATAATTCTTTTATTCTTTAATTTGTCAATTATTTATTGTTTCTTTATAAAGAGCATTTATTTTTCAGCGATATAACTAAGTAAAATTTTTGGTTTAAATATTCTTTTTCATAGAATAAAAGAATTATAGAAGATGGGCTCTGTTATACATAATCCAGTTGCGAGTTTTGTTCGGTCATTAAAATAATAAGTAATCTCTATAAAAAATTCAATAAATTATGGAATTGTAATGGCGCGCGTATATAACGTATCTTTTAAAAATACACATAGTTACTTTACAAGTATAATATAATTTTAACAAATTTTAATTACTATCGTATTTTACAATCCTGTATCATGCGCCGAGAACTAGTTAAAGTCTAGCTTTGAATCTGTGGCAGTGTATACCAATAGATTGCATTGATGCAATGCACGTTACCAGTGTCCCCATTGGCCCCCAATTTTATGATCACATTCGTACCTCGCGGAATCGAAAAGTATCGTCCACCGATAATCTATATCCTGGTGTTTTGAATCTGGCTCTTCAATGGATTCTGCTCAAAATACGGGTGATTGGATACTTCCGTTCGCCCGACGGTCGGGAAAATACCTAGTGGATTTTTGCGTATTGTGCAATTCGTCCTGGGAAAACAGGACGAGTACGTAAGCCCCATTGTACGCCATTTTTTGTCCATATCTTGCTTATGATACGATATTCCCTGCTTTTAGAAAAAACAAACTGTATGTGCATCCTATTGTTTGCTATTATGTACCATATTGTATGTAGTTTATTGGCTAATAAATGGCATATTCCATTTTTCACTATTGCACGATCAGATAGTATTTACAATAAATTGATACGATCTACCAAAGTCTAGGCTTTTATTTTATATTGCGAGCATCTTTTTTCTTTCCAAATGTTACTCTTTTAATTAAATATATTTAAAACGTACGGATCTTTTTGTTGAACATTTTATGTTATTTTATACATGTTATAAATGTACTTTTATGTATTTCTGCACTTCATGTTGAAAGATAGAAATTAAATTACCAATTTCTTAAGAAAAAAGATTTGAAAAATTTATTAAATTATCGAAACTGTCGATAGAAAAAAAACTCTAGCACTCAAAGTATTAAGATCAATTCAACACACTAAAGTGATCAAAGAATTCGTATGTGAAACGTAGCGCGGGAAATTTGGAGCATTCGATAGAAATTTCAGAGATCTCGTTTCCACATTGCGGATGTAAGCTTTCGTACGCGAAAAGATATAAAATATTTGCACTCGGTGTAATATGGAAGAGGAATGCTGCCCATAGATTTTTTAGTGATTTTCTTCTGCTGAAGTGAACTGAAGTTTAATATGTGAAACGCGGTGCAAAGTAGATAGATGACTTGAAGAAATGGTTGGCAGATGTTGTCGTGGACCGGTGCGAAGAATGTTCATGAATTCGCCGACATAGTGATGCTCTCGGAAAACTTCTTATCATAACACTAGACAATGACAGCGAACGTGACATGTAACGCGTGTGCTGCTTTAATGCATTGAATTGATAAACTCGCGTTATTTCGATATAGCCAATCAACTATGCAGTGGTAAACCAGAGTTATTCCGAGATAGGTAATCAACTATGCTGCGGTAAACCGAAATATCACACGTAATACGAAGCTGAAGTACACACAATATTACAGCATCCATTGTTAACGACGTAATGTTTATTGGAATTCTTCTCCGCAGTCCTCCCGAAAATGTTTCTCGTAAGTTAAATTTCAGACAAAATCCATTAGTCATGCTGATAAAAATTCTGTTGTCAACATCGATAAAACATTTTGACACACAATGTGGGGTAATCCCTTTTCCAACTGTCGAAGTATACGTACGTACATACGTACATTCGCAATTTGTGAAAATAAAGGAAAGCCATTTGTACGCGAAACAAAATTAACGCGCGCGCATTCAATTCCGTATACGGTTTGACCGGTTGCCAGCAGCGTGAATTTAATAAATCGCAGAGGAACGGCGCGCGCGGGGGAATGTGGATTGCGGAACATATAAAAATTTCGATTTTAGCACAGCGGCATTTATCAAAGCTTGTACGTGCGTGCTAGATATGACGATATCGTAATCACTTCTGTTAGGCTGTGTATTAGCCCCTTGACATTTTTCGTTAAATGTTATTCGCATCTGTCGACCCTCTGTATTGTTAAGCTACCGGAGCTCGGTTCACCTCATATTCGTTTATTTTGAAAAGGCTGGTGGTATATATTCCGGCGCGGAAGCGGTACGTTCATTTTATTTTCAATGACGTTTGCCCGATAACATTTAATAAGCGCCGGTCGCATGCAGCATTCTATAAAAGACTGTGACATTTACAGAAAATAAAAGCGACCACAAAAATGGTATTTTCCGCTACGTTCGTTTTTTTTCATCTGAATAGCTCGCATTTGTATAGAATATCCGATTTATATATGTAGCATCGATATAACACAACACAATGGTAGAATAGTATTATGGCCTGCATGATGTCACTAATTTGATATGACGTCATTTCAGTATATATTTTGTTTCAATTATTTTATAATAGAAAACTAGCTAGTTACATTAATAATGTAAAATTACGTATTTTTCGAGTTTTCCTTAATTCTTTATACGGAAAAAACAATTTTGCTGAAGTATTTAAGAATTTAGTTGGATAGACAAACCTGAAAACAATTTTGTTGGATCATCAAAATAATTACGTAGAAATCTTATGATGAACAATACTGCAAAAAGTTTTGATATTCTAACAACCAGTTTGAGAATCCTACATAATTATTTTGATAGCCCAACAATTATTTTCAGATCCGTATCTAACCAAATTTTTAGATTCTTTAGTAAAACTTTTTTCCATGTCCAATACATTTTGCAAGTAACAATTATATTAATACGACAAAATACTAAAATATAAAAGGTATGAGAGGATTGATTTAATGAGAGAAAAGTTAAAAAAATAATTACACTAAATGTAATTTTTTAACTTTTATTCTATTTTCTCATTAAATCAATCGTCTCTTATCTTTTTTATGCGTACTTCAATTGTATAAAAAGATTTTACAATCTGTACAGCTAATTCGGAGAATATTTTGAGCTGTAATTCCATCACTTTAGGATCCTCTTAATAATATTTAGGATTAAATATATTGTAATTAAATATAATCGATATTTAATATAAAGTTTGTTTTATCATATCTATATAACGCTGAAAATTTCATTTATCAAAACTTGATAACGCTGATTTTATACTTGCTTAGTATTTTATATTTTTTAATTGAAGAAACACATAGACATATTAAAAATGGAATCCGCAAAATGCACTTGAAATGATCAATATAGTAATAAGGATCGATTCACTTACATTCTACGATTAATGTTTGTTGCTACTTATTTCACTTTTGAGTTACAAAATCTGCATATAAAATTAAATCTTTTAAACAGGAAATGCACTCATCCCCCGACATGATGTCATAATATTCCCACATGCATTGTGCGAGATTGTCTCTTCCCTGGAAAATTCGTTCTCGTGTAAAAAAACTCACATCGTGCATGCGGAAGTTCAACGGCGAACTGCTGCGGAAGTACCGTGGATTTCGATATATACGTCGGTCTGACTTCCTCTTTTTCGCTTCTCACATGCGCCAATGGTATGAGGTACGAAAGATTCGGTACCTCGTTGGAGAAACTTACTCAGGACAAGACGTCGCGCCTCGCGGCGAAACTTCAGCTCTTCTGTCTCGTTGCCTTCTTGCTT